CGTGGACTCTAAGTGAAAAATGTGTGAACAATTTGAATCTTGATGATACACAATCTCTTCTGCAAATACTTATTTAAGCTTTGAGTAACATGTGTTGAGGAAAAATAACGAAAAAAAGTTTTATGCCTACTACAGGGATTGAACCTGTGACCTTCGCTTTACGAGAGCGACGCTCTACCACTGAGCTAAACAGGCATATTCGCTTTTTCGTGCTATTGCATTACAAAAAGACGACAAAATAACTAAAGAATATAAAGATTAGAAAAATACGTAAGAATGAAAATATTCTATAGATATTACATCTACTTTATCTGAAGCGTTTAAAGCTCTAAAGTTTCTGAACTCATACCACGCATACCATCTGAAGCACATTTGGTCATTGAAAAGAAAGAACAGTCGAGTGAAACTTTGAAGTACCACAGTTTTTGTTGCAGGTGTTTCCTAGAATCTAAGTCTAAGTTTATGTGTAAAACTAAATAAAAATATCTGACGTCCACAAATACTGCAGTTGATCATTCGTAACTATTTTTCTAATCTTTATATTTAGTTATTTTGTCGTCTTTTTGTAACGCAATAGCACGAAAAAGCGAATATGCCTGTTTAGCTCAGTGGTAGAGCGTCGCTCTCGTAAAGCGAAGGTCACAGGTTCAATCCCTGTAGTAGGCATAAAACTTTTTTCGTTATTTTTCCTCAACACATGTTACTCAAAGCTTAAATAAGTATTTGCAGAAGAGATTGTGTATCATCAAGATTCAAATTGTTCACACATTTTTCACTTAGAGTCCACGATTGTTTTTTCATTCTCAAACCTTACAATAAAAGAGAATAATGAGGTGAACAGTCAATTTAAGGGACTATTAGTGGCCACAAGTAGTTATTACCAGCAGTAGGGGTATTATGCATGTCCGTATATTATCCGTGCTTCCTTATTCATTTACACTTTCAAAGTCAAAACGCGTTGTTTAATTATTTACCCGGCAAACATCTCTGTCTCACCACCAACTGGGTTCTCACTCTTACAGACGTGGGTCATTCTGTGCAGGTTCGCCCACGTTATACAAAGCATCTTGCCACGAAAGTTCACTTTGCGTATCGTGCAGAGCATCAAAAATAACCTAAAGGTTTTGCTTACGCGTTTTCGAAAAAACGTGTGGTTGGTTTTCCAGACACCTCAAGTTTTCGACGAGCGTGAAACCAAAGTCGATGAAAATGAAGGAAACATTGCATAATTATACATCAAATTGAAGCTCTTGACGAGCTGATTCTAGTGTTGAAGAAATTTGGTCTCGATCTAACTTTACATTCGAGTGGTACTCAGTTTACTTAAAAAATTTGTGAAGTTTCACCTAATTTTCTCTTAAACACCTGCAAAAGTATTCGAGATTTTTCAGGATAGGAACTACTTAGTAGGATCTATAACTTTGTCTATACAACTATCCTCGACACTTTGCATTTTTGACCCTCAGTTTTCCAGAAAACCCATTAAAACCACACTTCATGAAAAGAAAATGAGCTATTATGACTCTATATTCCTGTTCAGCATTAATAATTCAATGTACTTCAACGTTTTCTAAGACTTCTTTAAAGAAGTCTCTACGGCAACACAATTGTGTTGCCGTACTGCAATTTTCTAAGAGGATTTCGGGAAAACGCGTTTTAAGGCGTTTCGATTTGATAGACGTTTGAACGCTGTTCTGAAACAAGTTATAACGGCGTTTGAGAGCATTCCTATTATTAAACGTCTTGGCACGCTGACGATATCTGATACTCCGAACGTATTCGAGGCGTCCTAATTTAAACAGACCCCTGAACGCAGTTTTGAAAAAGGCTCAAACATCGTTCAAAACCGTTTATATTACTGAACAGGTGGCATTTTTATTTTGCTACTAATTCTCTCTAAATAAATGAATACCTTACTTTTGAGACATACAAAAGCCCAAGTCTTCAGGTAAGTGACTTACATGTTAAAAAGGTCTCATTTAAAATTTGGATGTAACTTAATTCATGTGTTCATCTGTTTATGAAGAGTTAACATTAAAATAAAATGCTGCTGTACGGCTAATTTCTTGATCTGGAAAGAGTTATTTTAGAAATATGAAGGGCTTGCTAAAAAAAGCTGGCGACATTTTTCAGTAGGTAACTGCTTGTTCTGTTCATGCGCATCATAATTGCAGTACTGAAGAAAAGAAAAGCCCCTAGTGAATGTACTGAATTCGTATAAGAAATAAAAGAAAATGACGTACTTCTTTTGTTATAGTCGTCAGAGAATTTCTCTTCTTTCTTGGGTTTCTCAACTTTTTCAGCTCATAGCACACAATATGACAGAAAGATATATCAATCTTCGTCGAGCACCAATACCTCAGTGGTACGTGTCTCGCTCTCTATTCTTTAGATCTCATGTTCGAATCCGTCAGTCGCTGTCATTTCGTAAGCAATAATTGTTCTGCTACTTCTAGGGAGAAGGATAGAGATATCTTGAAGGAAATGAACTATATAGGCAGCCATACATTTCTTTTTTTTTCGGAAGTTTTGATAAACGCGTTTAAACGCTTTTATCTTAAAAAACGCGTTTAAACGCTTTTATCTTAAAAAACGCGTTTAAACGCTTTTATCTTAAAAAACGCGTTTAAACGTTTCAAATGTTTTATTTCTAGGCCGTTTTTAAGCGTTTGATGAACAAAACGCGTTTGAACGCTACTTGCCAGGTAAACGCGTTCGAACGCGGTGGTATAGAAGCGGACCAAAAGCCGTTTGAACGGTGCAAATGTTTCATTTTTAGCCGTTTAAACGCGTTTATAAACGCCGTTCGTAAACGCGTTTTTTAGAGTCGAAATTGTTACATGGGTTGTAACAAGAAGTGCGTAGAGTCGAATGAAAGAAGACACCTACGAAGGGACACAATAGAAGACCTCCTCTAAAATCTTTATTATTAAGTTATATTCAATTCCAGCGAACGATAATGACAAAGAGCGGTTTATTCGTAAGTGTTGAGCGTACTATAAATGTAACAAATCGAATGAAAAATTTCGTGACAAGCTAGAAAACAAATAGTTAATTTCAAAATGCTGTTTGGTGGTATTCAAGAGAGGGTTTTCTATATCGCTTACTCAATAAGGCACTTTGTCAACGAAATATCGATGCTCTGTTTTTACTGCAATTTTTCGTTATTGATTTATACAAACAACAGTTGACCGAATGTCAAAAACGGACGCTTTCTTCGGACACTAAAGTGTATCTCGGCCAGCTAATGCCTAGAAAAGAAATTAGTTCAATAAAGAGAGATGTGCTGAATGTCTGATTTCGATGAAATATCCGTCAATAGTTTTCTATCCACGACCACAAACTGTGACTTATCGTTGATTTTGCCGGTGCTGGAACTCGTTCGATTGATGATGATATTCAGTCTGTGTTATCTGAATTCGAGTCATTAAATTTTGTTGAGGTAAATCAAGCGCTGATATAAAACACTTGAGTTTCAATTAGGACGAAGACTAGATACTTTTAACTCCTGATACGAGTCTACAAGTACAGAATATATTCTAAGCCGAACTTAACCGAGTATGGTCGGTGCGTTGTACAGCTACAATTCAAGCATCCGATAGAAAACAAACGGGAGTTTTGGTACGTGGTAGTGCTGCTGAATTAAAAGCATTAATTGATTCTGTAATAGAAAATGAAAAAACATTAACGAAAGATGCAGCTAAGAATAAATTTGAAGAAATGTGGAAAAAGAAAATCGATTATATTGAAAGTAGTTTCAATGTCGAAGAACAAATTCGAATGGCAATAAAATTTGGAAACAAATGAAATGCTCGGTATTTTAATGTGAACGCTTAGTATCATGTACAAACAGTAAATAAATCAAACTATCAGTATAAATTAATAATTTGTGTGTGTGGGATGGAGTGGAGAGTGTGAAGTTTGGCTGTAGCTGTGGGCTCGAGTGTGGGGTGAGGGTGAACCGCGGAAAAACCACTTTGAAATCAGTTGTAGCAATCGAAACTGCAGCTGGAAACGTGGTTCCGGGTAATTTTCGAGACCGCTAAGCTATACAGGAATGCACACATCCACACCCTTAATACTAAATCTTTTTAAATTGATTACTGAGCTTTTCAAACTATTTACTGAGCAATTAAATACATGCCATAAAATTTGTCTAATCAAATTATAGTATATTTGAATGATCATCACTGCCAACACATGAAAATATTATTTCAGTTAGATTTCAAACTATTAAAAATTTGATAGTATCAGAAAATGGATTGAATTAATTCAGAAATTGAGAGACGTTTTTTTCATTCACGGATGCCGAGCGCATTGGACGGATATTGATGGAATGACTGAACATTTAAAAGTTAGTCACATATTAACAATCAAAAAAGAAGATTTCAAAGAAGCTCTCAATTCTTAAAGAGAATGTCCTAAATATCTTTTCTTTTTCGTGATGCTTTAAATATTTTTTCTAGAACTGTATTGTCGTCTCATAAGAGTTATTTAAGAAATTCTATAATAAAATTGATCACAGATAAATTGAAATGCAAACAAGCAACAAAATGAATATTACACATACCGTTTGGGGTATCTCTCTTTCTCTTTTGGGAGCACCAAAAGAGAAAGAGAGATACCGCAATCTGTGTCAAAAATAAATGTGCAAATAAAAATGACGTTGTGATGCTATCACAGTTTTTCGTAGCCTCTTGTAAATAAAGTTTTCGGTTATTTATACCGAAAAGATCAGATACCACTGACAAAAGATGACAATAATAAGGAAGATTTGATTAAACGATAATAACAATATTAAGAAGATTCATTCAAAATTTACTTATCAATAATATTTTCTCTGTTGCACAAAATACAGGTCATAATCGGGAGTAAATGTCGTTTAGAAAATCATTCTCTATGATAGTTTTCTCAACTTCTAACTTCAAGTTCACATCTCGTCTTTTCCACCTAGATCCAGAGAAGAACGATTTCAGTTTTACACTACAATTTAAATCCCAGTTACACTTCTTAATTAGAAAATATCATTTAGTTTTTCGTTATAAGTGTGCGTTAACTAAACGTGAAAATTTTGCTTTTTCCAATGTTTGATCCCTATTTTTATTGTAAAGTTTGGTTGTCCTTCTGTTACCATCTGTGTTTGATCTAGATATTCACTAGATATTCCTCCTATATTCTGTCAACTTTACGAACTCAAATTAAATTAACTAGAGAGGGTTCATTTTCACTTTTTATATTAATTTGAAGTAGACAAGTTGCACTATATAATTATGTTTATTTTCTAGAACAAAAACCCTTTTAATTTTGGAGACATATGGCTCTCAATATCGTTCATTAGAGTTTAAAAAATCATACCTTCTTCTCTGGAGGCAGAATAAATATCTGCTGAATTTTATGTCTATTTATGATGGACCGACGAAACAGCTGAAAAATCATTATGATCAGATAGAGTTTATTTAACTTTTAACGAATATAATACAAGAAAATATGATTTTTAAAACTCTATTGAGCGATATTAAGAGCCATATGTCTCCAAAATTAAAAGAGTTTTTGTTCTAGAGAATACATGATTTATACTGGGTGGTCCAAAATAAATGGCGCTCTCAGAATTTTGATCATAACTTTTTCATTTTTCATGCTATCGAGCTATAGTTTTTTTAAAGATGCGCCACAAAACCATATAGTTTATTTTTCAATTTTCAGAGTGAATTTCTAGAACATGAAAAGTAAACACTGACAAAAAGTCGTACTTTCTAAGTGCGGAAATTTCTGCACATTTTTTTATTCATCAACAAATTTATTTTATGGCCAGTGATTTTCGGCTTTGTTGCGATTTTCTTTCTAACTCTTTAATGGAAAGTCGTAAAAAGTCAAGAGATATCTTATTTTAAAGAGATATGAACGAGCTTCAAAATAAGACGTCTCTCGACGTTTTAGGAGATTTTAGAACTTTACATTGTTAGATTTTTAGACTTTCGACAATCAAACTTTACACGTTAGGACTCTCAGTTTTTAGACTTTGAGATTTGTAGATATTAACACTTGATTCGGTGTTCTTCGCTTCGATTAACGAACATTTTAGTTAAACAGATGCGAAGAAGTGTTTTTCTGTTTTCTTTTTAGAAGCTTCGTCTGGTTTCTTTTCTTCTCTTCTACAATACCTAGTCAGAGGCAATCTCGGCAATGAAAAATCAAACGATATGCTTCTTCGAATTTTTTGATTTTATGTAATACGTTCTTGATGAGAGAGACAGTACGAATATAAAGTTATATTGATTATGACAATTGCAAGTGAAGACGAAAAAGGACAACGCATTCTTAATTTTATATTTCTTCGATGAGCGATCTTGACTGGATTCAACATTTAAACAGAAGAATAAAATGATTGTTGAATTGTATTTGTCGAATAAAGTAGAAAAACACTTTTCTCTTCTGTTTAACCGAAATGTTTGTCTATAGAACCGAAGGACACTGAATCGGAAAAATGGAATTATTTAACTGTTCACAAATGGTAACATACATAGAACATCTGTCTGATGAACTAATCTTGGAAATATTTGAATTTGTACAGTCACATATATTGTTTGATACTTTTTATAACTTGAACAAACGTTTCAATTCAATATTAAATGATGTTCATTTATCTACTGATTTAAAATGTAATATGTCAAAAGCTCTGTTTGATCAATATTGTCATAAAATATTGAACCATAAAGAACGACGTCAACAAATATTTTATCTTAAACTATCCAATACGCGTACATTTGGTCAAATTGAGTTATTTATGAATAATTGTTCTATAGAATCTTTTATTCATTTATCATCCTTAATCATTACTAACGCATCATCGGCTGATTTGAAAATAGTTGCATCGAAATTGAAATATTTAAAATATTTGAATTATGTCAGGGTTAAACCAGGTAGCTCTTTAGAAGAGGAAGAGCATTATATTTATAATACAATATTCGTACATGAATCATTGAAAAAATGTTCATTATTAGAGTTCGGTGATACGATTGGACGCATTCATCCGGATATGACATCCACTTTGGAATGTTTATCCGTTGACGTGCATGACAAACATGATCTGATTAATTTAATCTATTGGTTACCAAAAATCAAACGATTAGCAGTTACATGTGATTCTACATCATCTAATAGGCTTGTTCTTCGACATCCATTCATTCCATTTGGTCCTAGTCTGACATTTTGCCACCACATGAACCATAGTGCCAAAAGTCGGTGAAGTGAAATTTTTTGACCTATATTTTTCTATTTTTGGATTCTATGATCAAAACTGGGTTATGAAAAAATTTTAAGGTCGTTTGAACTTGATTTCGCCGAGTTATAGAATTTATAAAATTAGGTGTATCGAAGATTTTCAAAAAGCGCCCTCCGTGATTTTTTATCTATAACTTCGTCAAATTTTATCCGTTCTATTCGAATGACGTCTCATTCCAAAGTCCATCAAAAAATGAACAAAATCAGATGTTTCTAAACTAAACAACTGTAGTTGTTGTGGTAATCGAGGAACGGTCGGACAGAGCTTTACGTTCTTTAGAAACTGAAGTAATGGACGACAATTGTGGCTTAGAGGAATGTCCTGTTAGACGGATTGATCCTATTTAGTAACTTGAAAAACGGCAATCAGAGGGCCAATAAGACACCGGCTTGAGTTTAACACTCATAATCTATGTGGAATGCCTTGTACCTTCATGAGCGTATATGATTTAATATAAAAAGTGCGTTTTTTTTCATGAAAGATTGAACTTTTAAAAAAAATGATAGTATAATTACTTTGATGGTAATAATTGCAAGCAATTTTTCAACATGTTCCTGAGGTTGTGAAAGAAAGTTTTATAGCTCATTATATAGAGAATTGCGCGCTCTACAAAATGCACTGACTTACATTTTGCGGGAAATCTGCTGGATGGAGAAAAATAAATTTTATTGAAAAAATTTTGTTTTTAAAATTAGTCATTTTTCAAATGGTAGGCTTCTGAAAAATCCAGTTCCCGGTTGAAAAAGTTTAGAAACATC